AACAGGGGTGCTTAGTAAAGCAGGATATAACGCCCCTACGTTGAAATAAGACTAAAGGGCAACCATAGGAACTTATAGCAACATAAATGATCAAAGCTTCCATTTTAAATTTGAAATACCACCTTTGATATTGACAAGTGTAAATAATCCCAATAATACTGATAAATCAAATCAATTATTTCCTAATAGGTTATTTTAATAATTGAAACTGCTTCAAGGAAACATGGCCTCATAAACATTTTGGAAGGGAAACTGTAGAAACAATCCATTCTGAACTAATTATTTCATTTTTGTAACTGATTAATAGTCAATGTTTATGTGGAAAATGCATAGGCAAAAAACAACAACAACAACAACAAAAACCAACAACTAACCAACAAACAAAAAACCTCCAAGAACATACAAAAGCTCTTGTCCTGATTTTAGATAGAATATATTTTAGAATTTCCCCTCAGAGAGGCATTCTGTATGAGACTCATGTCTCCTGGCATTCAGAAAGGCTCTATGATTTGTATTCACTTAATCAGTGGAAAATCATTAGAGATCCATTCAATTAGAAATGCCACAGATTATGGAAAATATATGAGTTGAATCTCAAGGGCTCTGAGATCAAATATTTGAGAAAATTGCAGTGCTTTACAAGCAAAGAGAGAAAATAATTCTCATCTGTAGATCAGTCCTGGCTTTTAACTCAATTCTTTGAGGTGTGGAGACCCTAAACTATGTTCCAGGATGTTCAGTATTGAGCCCTAAGTATCTCTATCTGCCATTCAGATACTCATTCATATACCCAACTGCTGAGTCTGAGCAGTAGATGGATCTCTGAGTTGCAGTTTTCTGTGGCTGGTTCAGTTATGCATTGTCCCTGGCCCGTACTCACTCCTCACTAAATTAAGTATCCGAGTTATTATTATATGCATTAAAAATTTAAAAGTAAATGATAGGACACAAAATAGTGACAGAAAAAGAGCTGCAATTTATTGATGAACTTCACCATTTGGTGAAATTTCATTTGTTCTGCTAATAACGCTTAGCTATTAACTTCCTTTCAAGAATCATGTCTGCCTTAGAAATCCCTCAAGGTAATTTATATCCTGAGTAAATTACAAACTATTCCTTGTGCCCATTTCTGACTTGCTTCTTTTTTGTCCCTGAAATCATATAAAACTAATTCCATATCTTTTGCTGTGAGTTATTAATGTATTACTTCATGTACTGTCTCGCCTCATTATCTCCTTGTCTTGTCTGAAAAGTAGAAGTACAGCTAAGAAATTGTCAGAATCCTTTGTGAGCTGTCACGAGGTTCTCCATTAGCTTGGGAAGTCAGTGTGCTGGTCATATGAAACAGGGCTGTAGTTTGCTTTCAACTATTGCAACATTAAACTTGAGAGCAGAGTTATGTCAATTCCTGTATCAAGCTTCCTCATTATTCTGAGTCCCTATCTAATTTTTGTATGCTAATTTTGCAGTCTGACCTTTACATGAGTAGACAGGTGGGAAAATGCATGTACCCTGTCAGCTGCTTAATGGTTTCCTAATCTGAATAGACTGTTCTGTATCAACTGCACCATCTGGAAATACCCTCTTCTGCGTTGAAGTGCACTGCATTTAAACAAATATCGGTGAGAATGTCTGACAAGTGAAGCACTATATTAAAGCTATACCTTTTTTGGTTGAAGGAAATAATAATTTCTGTATAATTTTTAGCCAGAAAATGTGGATTTTCCAAGTTTCTTTTGTAAACTGACATTAGCTGCTATGCAGATGATGAATCCCTGCTTTAATTAAGCCCTGAATCACAGTTGCAAGGGTTATATTACAGCTCTGTATGCACACAAGTTGATTATGCACTAAGGAGCAATCCAGTTAGACTTTCTGAGCCAGTAGGTTTATTTGGACCAATTGTTTTTGAGGGACTTTTCTTCTAAATGTAACTGCAGCATGGCCTCTACAATGCCTTCCACTACCACAGTTTCACTATGAAGTGCACGGAGAAGTACTCCTTTTTCTGGAGTGGGGTTCTAAAATGTTATGTGATCATTTTATTAGGTAGTTGTTAATTCCTGGGTTACAGTATGGAATAAATTCACTAGGCACTGCAACTGTGATGTTTAAGACTATAATGTCACACTGTACCAAGTGTGTACCAATTTTTTTTTTTTTTTTTTTTTGCCACGATTGAAGGAAGGGATGCTATTCAGAGGGACCTCGAGAGGCCCAGGTGAACATGGTGAGGTTCAACATGGCAAAGTGCAGAGTTTTGCACTTTGGGCTGGAGGAATCCCAGGCATCCATACAGACTGGAAGGAGCGGTCCTTGAGAGCAGCCCTGTGGAGAAGGACCTGGGGGTCTTGATAGATGAAAAACTTAATATGAGCCAGCAGTGTGCCCTTGTGGCTCGGAAGGCAAATGGGATCCTGGGCTCCATCAAAAGAGGGGTGGCCAGCAGGGACAGGGAGGTGATTGTTCCCCTCTACTCTGCTCTTGTGAGGCCCCATCTGGAATAACTGCATCCAAGTGTGGAGCCCCCAGTACAAGAAAGACAGGGAGCTGTTGGAGAGGGTCCAGAGGAGGGCCACAAAGATGATCAGGGGACTGGAGCACCTCCCCTATGAGGACAGGCTGAGGGAGCTGGGCTTGTTCAGCCTGGAGAAAAGAAGGCTGCAGGGTGACCTCATTGCAAGCTTTCAATACCTAAAGGAAAGGGTGCCTCCAAACAGGAGGGGAATCAACTCTTTGAAAGGGTAGATAACTGCAGGACAAGGGGAAATGGTTTTAAGTTAAGGGAGGGGAGATTTAGTTGGATGTCAGGGGGAAGTTCTTTACAGAGAGAGTGGTGAGATACTGGAACAGGCTGCCCAGGGTGGTAGTGGATGCCCCGTCCCTGGAGGTGTTCAAGGCCAGATTGGATGGGGCCCTGGGCAGCCTGGTCTAGCATTAAATGAGGAGGTTAGTGGCCCTGCATGTGGCCCAGGGGGTTGGAATTTCATGATCCTTGAGGTTCCTTCCAACCCTGGCCATTCTGTGATTCAGTACAGTGACCAGAAGTACAAACTGGTCACTTAAAACTGGTGTCAAAGATGGGAATGGTAGTATAGTGATGTTTTTGAGTTTTTGCCTGCTTTCATTATAATTCCTCGCATTCCATTTGCCTTTGTAAATGCTGCTGGAGTTTAGAATGACATTTTTAGAGAACCATGTACAATGAGTCTAAGCTGTTTTTCTGGAGATAATTTAGACCGTGATTATGTGTATGCAAAATTAGAATTGTTTTCCTCTGTGCATATTACTTTGCTTGCATCAGCATTTAATTTCATCTTCCATTTTATTATCCAGTTATTCAGAATTATGTGAGCCTCCTGTTCATTTTCAGTATTAAATTTGTATGCCAAATAATTTCATTGCATTAGCAAACATTGCAACAAAGTTTTACTTACTTTTTAGACCTTGGCTTTTATCTTTAGTGCAGACCAAAGGTTGATCTAATCCTCAGTGGAAGTGAGATATGATACAGGGGAATGCGCAAGTGAATGAAATGTAGACAAAATGGTTAGGAGCTGTTTTTAGTTTTTTTGTTATAAATTTTTGACTGAAACAAACCTTTCTGTCTTCTCTTTACTCTGATGAAACAAATGGCTTTCAAATCATAGTTTAAAGGCCATTTTTAATCAGGCATTTTTTTGAGAGGCTGATTATGGAGATGTCATTCTAGATATCTGCAAAATTTATGTCTGAGTTGTGGAAATGTAAGCCATGCTTTAAGTAAAAGATCAATAAAGTAAGACTTACTGAAGTAGGCCACAAAGAATACTTTTTTACAGTTCTGGCCCATTGTATTTCCAAAGGCCAAAGCTCTAGAGAATGAAGAAATACTTCTAAAATTCCACATCTCTCTGTATTTTGGAGTATTATTGCCAAAATGTGTTTGAATGTGAGTGCGTGGATTGCTTCGGGCAGCTGAAAGACTGTGGATATATATGTATATATATGTATATGTAATAGGTGTGCTTAACTGTTTTGTGTGGTGTGTAAGAACTTGTGGACCTCCCTGTCCAGACAGTTTTGGAAATCTTGCAAGGAACCTGATCCTATGAGACTTTTCAGCATTTCAAGTAATCTGTATTTTCAGAACTTCAAGTAGACATTCCTACAAAATCGTTCCAAATTTCATGAGCTTGGTGCTGAAAATTCCTCTTGATGGCATGGCTCAAATTTATGACTGGAAATAAGGACATTACTAGCAAAAATGAATTTAGAAGTGCTGAACAATGCTAATGTACACAAGATAGAGTTCACTGTATTGTTTTCATGTTTTGGAATCTCATAACTGTACCAGATAGTGTAGGGGGAAAAAACCTTCCCCAAAAGCCTATTGAATCTGATGGAAAATACTTTGTATACTTCAGAAGGTGTGTATCAGACACTGAATCATAGTTGGAGTGATTATTGGAGGAAGAGCAAAGGTGGACTGACGGTGAAATGGCCTTGTGGTTTCAGATTAGTCGCTAATGGCCTGGCATCTAGAATGTACACTGCTATGCTAAAAGTGAAAAACAGATTATGTAATAATGTTCTGCAAATTTTCTGCCAGTCTGTGTGCTCCAGAAAACAGCATTTTGAAAGGATGATATTTCATTGTGGTAGGTAGAATGTCAAAGTCAAATGTGAAGAACTTTTATAAAACTCTTCATGCTGTAAAAGTTTTCCTCAATTCTGCTGTGCCATTTACATTTTATAGGCCTAGCCTCCTGGTCCTGCTACATCAAAACTCTTCAAAGGAATGTCTTCAACTGCTTTGCTGGACTCAAATTAAGGCACCTCATAACATATACTTTTAATTCTGGTGTAGCTAGTAGAGCCTCTCCATTAAAGTGTACAGACCCAGTATTTGTGGTGGCATAAGAATAGGAAAACTATACATGTAGTTCATGTAAATAGGTTTCTAGTTACATTTATATTGTGTAAAAGTAAGCTTCAGCCTGTGGACTGGTTTATTACAGGTGAATAATACGAAATGCAAAAGGAACATGAGCTTATGTTGTGCCTGTGAGCAGCTGAACAGGAAGAAAGATTTCCATGAAGTATAGAAGTGTAAGTAGATCTGTGACCTAAAAAGATTGTATGATGGTAGCAGTCTGAAATTGAACTTTTCCTTTGTCTCAGTAAGCTAAGATGCTCCGTATGTAGTATTTATGTTCTATTTCATGAGTAGAGGTGCAGCATAATCTTTTCGTTTTGCCTGGGTTTTGTATGTGATTTATCGTGTGCTTTTTAAAGGGAAACAGAACAAAGTCGTTGCTGTTTATTTTTATTTTATCATTTACCTACCAAGCCAAAATTTTACACCATAACATTACAGGAGAGAAAAACAAAACCAAAGAGGCAGAACATCATTTACCATTTCTCAGATTAATGAAAACGACACATCTCGTCTTCTGTTCTTCTGGATCTTTTGTTTAGAATTGAGTCAAATTTGCACTACAACAAAATAAAAATGTTTTCTTCTTCAAGACTGGTTTGTTTCCTCTGGTGAAGATAAATTGTCAAGTGCTCCCACCTCTTCGAAGAAGGAAAAAAAATGAATTAGCAGATGTGTAAGTATGCATAATAATATTGGCAAGTAAATCATAAGATCCAATTAAAGTACTACACATTTTTAAAAATATTTTCTGTTAACTGTAAGTGGCAAATCATTGCACTTTAAATAGGTTACTTCATGAACTTTTTCTTTCTTTTAAATGTTAACAGCTTGTTATAATAATAATACTTTAAAAAAAAAATGAAATTACAGTGACAGTGTCACTACTGATATCAAGCTACAAAGCTTTTAATATTAATGACAGCGACATGCCATTCTACATCCAGATTTACATGGGCAAGAGTTTAAAACTGGAGGGACTCATTTTCAAGAGAAATAGCTGAAGCCACTTTTGTGGTCTCTGAGGCATTTCTTATAATGATAATACCTGAAACAATCACTTCATCTTGTAGGTAGGTAGAGATTTGTATCTAATCTAAGTATCATCATTCCCTGATGCTGAATTCCATGAGTGGGTTCCCACACTACCTTCAAAGGAGAATATCTTCTTGAATATATTTAATGTGGTAAGGTGACATTTGAGGGAAAATGTTAAAGCATTTCACCACAGTAGTGTAGTATCAAAGTATGTTTTTCACCTCCAAAATTCATGGTTCTGATTTGGTGTTAAAGTTTGTACCAGGTTTTGGCCATGCCTACTGTTAGGGGGTAGTGTGACAATATTCTGTCTTTTATAACTTGGAAATACAAGAACTATCTCAAAGAAAAACCATTTTATATGTTCTGGAGATACCATTTTCCTGTATTCCAAGGACAGATAACAATACCATCTCTTCTGAATAAAAGAAAGTGTTTGGCTTTACTATGCTAAATAGGGATTTGATAGTTACAGTTATTCTACACTTTTTCTCATTCATCCCAGGGAAGAAATAATTTGTATTTCTATGAGATGCATTTTATGTTCTTGCCCAACAGCTCAGTTGGTCTTAGCCTATTCATCACAGTGGACTCTCACACTTTGCATGTTTTGCATTCTTTCCTTTTTTATCCTGTTATTGCTTTTGCTTCCCTAGGCTCAGATAGCAAGGTATGGAAATAAATGCCTAGGGCTCCTTTTCAGTGGCACGCAGAACAAGCTCTTTATTTATCCACAGTGAATATACATGCTAATAATGTTCTTTAAACATATGTATATATTTGAATTCTCTCAGGCCTTTAGCACTAGCTGTAAAGAATTTTTGTAACAAATGCAAATTTGATTAAGTAAGCATTGGGTTGATGTTTTCAGTAGTGAAAATTATTTTGCTTTGGTGAATGCAAATCATTTAGAAAATTATGCCAGAGATGTCTAGAATTTTATTTCCTAGGCATACAGAAATTTCATAGATCTCTTGAATGTCTTTTTGTTTAATGAAAATGATATATAACACCTTGTTCTTTCTTACTATTCCACATCATATGTGTATGACAAAATTGCTTATAATTTGTTGTATTCAAAGAGAAGAGTATAGAAGTTACAGATGGCCTGCCTCCTGAAACAGAATTCTGCAATCATTTGCAAAGAAAATATCTTTTTTCTCCTCATTATGTTCTTTGCAAGTACTTGTTAAGTTTTTAAATATTTCATAGATGGTTTTAGGATGGCAGAAGACATTTTAAAAAATTTAATTGCCTTTCTTTGCGTGAAAGTTTTTTTGAGAAATTTATGAAGAAACTAAGAATTGTAATTAAAATGAACAAAATCAGAAACAGAATTCTTCATTACCTAATAATACAATGAAACTACTGTTCTTACAAGATCAGCTGTGAGCTCAGTTTTACAAATCTTGTCAGAGTTCTGTGACTTCCCATAGTTTTGCCAGCAGCATTTTGAGCTGTTTGCTAACATGCAGTTTTGTGTTTTTGCAGCTTTATGATGTGGCTTTCTTGGAGAATGCAAGGAGAAAGGGAGCTGCATTTCTTCATTGCTAGCAAGTCTATCTGAATTTCAGCCAACTGCTCTTGGAGGTAAACTGAGCCTTTATTTAATTTGTTACTAAATGGTTTTAATAACTCGCGAATAATCAGACTGTATTTACTTTGTTTTCAACTAGCTGTGTGCCGGCTCCATAACATTTTAGAAGTAACTTATTATTTTCACAGTGCCAGGAGTAATCAAGTAGTACTAGAAACCTCTTGTTGCTGGGTATCCATTCACCTGCATTTTGACAGGACTGCTTGTACTTGTGAAGTCAGATGTATTCCTAGATATGTTAAAGTAGAACTGACTTCCTCTCCCTTCTTCCTGCCCTTGTTCCCAGAAATACAGGCAAATCTGCAGCAGACTTGTACATGCAAGACTAGTCCTGAATGTCACAGGAGAAAGACCAACAGAAACAGATCTTCAGTGCTTCTGCTAAATGTAACTGGATTTAAAAGGTATGCACTAACCTTTAAGATGCAAGTAAGTCAAAAATTCGATTACTGTGCGCACAATGTTTTCGTCAGCCAGTGGTCTTCCAAGATTTCCTAAAAAAATAAATTGGTCATTACTTAATGTTAATATGGTGTAAATGTATCTATTAATCGCATATAACATTGTGGCTAAATTCATAAGGATCCTGAAAAGACAATCTAGAAGAAAAAATTCTTAAAATGGAACACCTCGTTTCATGGAAGAGCAATGCAACTTTCAGGTATGCAGCTGCAGTTCTCAAAATTGAAATTGCACAGCTTTGTATGCCATTGCTGCAGAGGAGCTACTTTGACAGCTTAATAGTCATGATTCTTGAGGCCAGTGAGCCCAATTGTGGAGGAGTTATCCTTTGTTCTCAAGTCCCTCTTTTTGTGTCTGCTAGCTTGAGATGAAAGGGAAGGGTAAATGTAGCAAATTCATCAGCTTTACAAAACAGTTAAAAGTTCTGCATGAGGTCTGACTTTGTTCCCAATGAGATGTTAAGTGATACAAAAGTGATTTGTAATCCTAACAACTGGGTCTGGGGCTTATCTAAAGGCTCAGAAGGATGTGCTTTTGCATATATATAACAAGTAATATTTACTCCCTTTAATCTTGTGCAAGTTGGCTTTTTGATACTACTTAAATTGCTCAAATAATCAGGTGTTCTCAAAGCTTGTTGTACTTGGGAAAATGAGTTATGTTTCTTGTGTGTATTCAAAAAAAAAAAAAACAACAACAACAAAAACCTAAAAAGTGGAGACATCTTGCTTTTTATCAATGAGGTGGAAGCTTGTTCGATATTAGAGAACAAAAGAGTTGTAATTTTGCACAGTGTTTTAGTTCTCTACATATAGAAGAGATGGGCAGCAGAATCTGACTCACAGTCCATTATCACACCGGTGAAAATACTGTCCCTTGATGTTATCACTGAGGACATGTTTCATCTCAGAAAATAGCCTGAAAGGCAGATTTTGCAGCAGGTGAATGCTGGGGGAATTCTTCCATGACAGGTAGAAATGATTCATTTCTGTAGTGTCATACAGACCAAAGAGAGCTGTGCAGCTGACATGAAAAATAGATGGGAAATTGTAAAGCAAGAAAGGTTTCTGATATAGAGTCAGCATTGAAGAATCTGTGTGGAAGTTTGTGTTCAGATGTCTTAGCTTCCGGTCTTTGGATGGACAGAAACACGTTAACTTTTACATAAATAACACTTGTGTTTTCATTTGAAATTTTTTCTTAATTTCATTTTATTCTGATCTCACTTGTTATGGATTTTTTATGATGATCAACATGATTATACTAGTCATCATATTTTATTTGTCATCTGATATTTATTGCATATATATATATATCTTAGGGACTTGAGAATACACACATTCCACTGAGTATATATGATTTTGATTTTGTATAGCCAATTATTTGCAGACTCTAGCAACAAAACAGTTGTTTGTTTTGTAGTTTAAGGTTTTTCCTTAAATGTTCTCATAGATTTTGGTGGGGTTTGGGGGTTGTTTTTTTTTTTAATCTAATATTACATGACTAACACAGCTTATAAGCTCAAGTTTACCTGGAGAGCTTGCAGCATTTCTTGAAGAGAAAAACATCTAAAATATGGTTAATAACAGAGGCAGTTATATGCATTTTTAGGTCCCACCCAGACAAGTTTGGTTATGTTTTCTTGTAAGCAGCAGTTCCATAATTCTTAAATATAATATACTTCAGTAAAGGAGCTGGCAGCTTATTTGCAAATGGCAGCATTGCCTGGTGCACCGTCCTGTTAGATTGCAAATGCTGCCTTCCTTTAACATCGTTTCTGATTGGCAAAGTATTATTTTTGTACCAATGTTGAGAAAGTACTACTTTTATTGGTGGTGTTGTTTTAATGTGTAACTACAAACCGGCACTAAACTGGCAGTCATTCTGGAAACACAAAAACTGAGGTAAATGTTAATTTGACTTGACTTTAATTGACTTGTTTTAGCTTTTGGGCAAAGTCGGTTCTCTAGCTTTAATAAAAACAACCCAAATTGCTTAAATACAGAAACATTGTGAAACTTAACTTGGAGAGTTTATTTTAAATGATTGACAATCTTCTAACATAAGCAGTGCCATACAGTTTAATTTCAGTTCTGTAATATCAGAATCAAAAAATATTTGCCAGTTTCTGTTGGTTTCCCTATTGAAAAGAATGATCTCACTTGTTAGACAAAAATGAGCTCTTGATTGTCTAGGGTGAAGTCTGATATACTGAATTGTGTATGCAGAAAGAAAAATAAATGTATTTAAAGTGTAATAAATCATACTGCTTTTAAAGTAATACAATTATGGTACTTTTCCCAAGGCAACAGAGAGTTTAAGCACACTTATGGTCTGAGTGGGTGAAATTTAAATTTTCTTCCTCACCAGTATTTAGTGGGATATCTGCAAAAGTGCAGGAGTAGCCTTATATCTAAGCAGTTAACTTAGATCAATGACAGTAAATAAATTAAGACACTTTAAAAAATTAACAGTATTAACTTTCAGAAATTTAATTACCTGCTTTTATATCCTCATCAGGCTGTATTTCACGTTTACCAGTGAAACCATGTTTGTCATTAAAAGATCTGTGGTTATCTACTGCATCTGACAAATAAATTAGAAATCAGAGGAGTTAATTGACTTGGCAGCAACCTTTACCTCTCATGGATTTTAATAAAAAGATCACAATGAACACTTTTGTTAGATGCTTATGTACAAAATGACAAAAAAAAAAAAAATGTCACTAAAATAACCTTTTTTCCAGATTTGTGGTTATGATTTTTATCATTTACAGACTTTGTCCTGCACTACATCTACATACTTGTCAAACCTGTTACTGAATGCAGTGAAAGGTCTAAGTAAAATGTAAGTTTGTACATTTGGGTGTAATCTGGAAGGTTGTTTTTGCTACCCTTTCTCCTGCTATTAGAAAGTGTTGCCAAGGTGTTTACTTAAAAACAAGCTGCAATAAATTTTTCAAGATTATTCATGTAAACTATCTTACATGCCCCTGGTGCCTCTTCTCTCCCCCTTGCAATGGGCATTTCCTTTATCATTAAAAGGTGATCAATACGACCTGCAACAAAGGATGATTCCTATTACCCAGTCTTAGATAAACGGCATTTGAAAAGCACATTTCCATATTTGTCAATTTGGTTAGATCTGCTCTGGGGCATAAATTTGCAATGCCAGTTAACACATTTAAGATGCATTAATCAGTTTTTATGTATCCTTTTATGTGGTCTGTATACAGAGAGTTGCAGTAGGTGCTGCAGCATTGATCATGTGTCACTGAGACTGAGAATATACAAACACTGGTAAAAAGTGTAATTACATCAACCAGAAATAATGATGAAAGACAGATATTTGAGATAGCTTAGCACTGTATTTCCCTTTTGCTTATAATGTTCATGTATTTTGTTACAAATGCACACACACAATCTTTTTTCTTATAATCCAATGACCTTTCATCTTTGTGAACCAATATGTGTGGCTGTATTTTGAATAGCATGTACCTGAAGTATTTTTCACACAATGAACTGTTATAGTTATAGCCATGACTCTTTGCACTTCCTTATTGTTTTAATTTGTTTGGATTTTTTAAAAATAGTAGTATAAAGCCATTTTCAAACAGATTTTAACTGAAATCTGAAATAAGTTGAGTAATGCCAGAATTTCACATTCTGTCACTCTTCCTCTGACATCTGGAATGCAATGATGTCTTGTAACGCTTCCAGGAAAAAGGGAAAAAAGTAAAAATGAAGTGTTTGCCATATGGAAGTTACAGGTCAGTAGCAGAAAGAGTGCCTAGATGTGCATCTGTGTATAAATTCTCACAGCATGACTCTTTTTCAGAAAACAATTGTTGCCTAAGGCAACTCAGTTCTGTAATAGGCACGTAATAAATATCTAAACAAGCATTCAGTCTTTGCAGGCTCAGTGTAGTTGTCAGAGAAGTGAGTAGCACACAACAAACAAAGTTTTACAAGAGGAAACTTCTGAGTTTTGAAATAGTATGAGAGAGAGCGCTTGACTTACGTGGCCCAAGTAGGTAACCAGCACTGTTCAAAGTCCAGCCCCTTTTTTCTTTTGCCTCAAAGAAAGAAAAATGCAAGTAGATTAGTGCTTGAACTACGCTCTGAAGGCAAGAAGGCAAACAGCACCCAAATGGATGGTCTCTTACCAGAAGTGTCTTCTGAAGGTTTGAAATACGAGAAATATGGTGAAAAATAAGTAATATAGTAATACCAAAGCATTTACTACTGCTAGCTCCTGACTCCTCCAGTGGTTTTGTTGTTGAAATCCATGTAAAGATTTCACACTGTATAAATGAAACTAAATCACAGTTTGGAGGTAGCAGTTTTGACTTTGCATTTTAAATTTACTTCCTGATAAACATTTAGCAAACAGCAACATTTTCTTTTGATTGCTTGGGTTTACGTGACAGTTTCTGTAAAAGGTCCATATCCAACCTTTTCTGAGTCAGACAGGGATGGATATCCATTGAATTTTGCTCTAGACCTTTGTTTCTTATTCTTTGTGACATGGGAGCTATTATTCAAAAGCCTGGTATTTAAGTAATTAACAGCCTCAAATGTATGAGCACTGTGTCTTGCCTCACTGCTGTATCTCTAAACACAGGGTACTTCATTAAAGAGCTCACTGTCACTTGTCGTCTTTGACAGGGATGCTGCCCAGTGGAAAGGACCCCCATGGGAGATGAATACTTACAGACAAAACCAGTCCAAATGTTTCTGACAGGGCGGCACAAAGGATTAAAGACAGAAACAGGAAACCTGCACACCTCTGCATCTGAAAAGAAACCGCACCAGGGTAAGCTTCAAGTCTCTCGCTGCCTGGCTTCTAGCTTGGATCCGAATAGCAGGTGAGCAAACTGGCCACTGATGAGGGGTGAGGATGAACCTTCGTCCTGCGGGGGCCCACACCCCGATTCTCTCTGGGGGGCGGTGGGACAAGGCTGAGAGGTGGGAAGGGATTGAGTACCTTGAGCTGGGGCACAACGGTGTCTCGCAGGGAGCTGGCAGGTGGCGAGATGGCTGTCCCACGGCTGTTGCCGGAATGTCCCACGGATGCTGGGATGCCGCACCGCTGCAGTCCCGATGGCTGCTCCTGGCGGGCACTCACTGCATGGCCCCGGTGCACGGGCACAGCTCTGCACACCCACCCTTCGTCCCCTCCGCTCTTTATGGGCTGTGGAGCCCCCCCACTCTCCGCCTCCCGTGGGTCATTTTACCTCACCAACCCACTGCATTAGGAAGGGCAAAAATTATAGCAATTCAATTAGAGGCTTTTGGAAGCACGACGCAGGCTGCAGAGAGATAACTGTCCAGGCAATTAGCCATAATTAGGGTGGCCTTGGGCAAGCTGGCAGTGAGAGGAGCTCTGTCCTGGGCAGTCTGGCATACGCTGCAGTGTGCTTATCAGTGGAGACCAAGCAGACATAGCAGAATTCAGCTCGCTTTTCACTGAATCAGCTACGGAAGCAGAACTAAATACAAACAACTATGTGTGATGCCCGCCAGCAAGATTTGCAGTTTTTGGTTATTGAATTTGGGAAGGCAAAAGACTTTACACACTCCCCACCCCATGGTCCCTTAAAATCCCTTTGACTCGCATGTCTTTGCCTCAGCATCCCAGCAAATAGAGCTAAAGATACTCAGTCATTGTACTTTCTTGTTGCTTTGTACTACTTTGCTGCTTTTGTAGTTGGTCAGAAATCTGTTTGTTTGTTCATTGCCTGGGTTGCAATACAGCAATGTTTTGTATCTGAGATGTCACTTTTTTTTCTTGTCCTTAAGGTTTTGCATGAAGGATAGTAATGAAGCTCTCCCCAGTGGCTAGGCATGCCCTGGCATTTTAATTACAGCCTGTGAAGTTTCAGTTGTTCATCTTATTTGTGCTTATAGCCAGTGTATGTATGTGCAAAACCAAATTACAAGGCAAAGATCCCAATGTCATTTCCCAGTGTCAGGGAATATACTCTGCCAAGTCATTTTTTCAATGTGAGTCCCCTCAACTCTTCTTTCAGTATGAAAAGCCTAAGAGATGTTGTACAGAATGTTATACTTCCAGCTCCTTTTTCTGAAGCTGCTTAATATTCTTTGCAAACTTTTACTGTGTATGTGCATGTGTGTGTGTGAATTTGGATATATAGTAAAGGCTGCTAGCAGGTAACACAATATCCTATCTTCGACTAATTTAGAAGCAAATAGCATTTTTACTTAAAGTAGTATAATGTTCATATGTCTGGCTAATGGCAGAAGCTATGTCTTGTAGCTCTGTTTTCCAACTTCTTTTGTCAGAAGCCATAGCACTGCGATTATCTGATCATCACTGAATTCCAGATCTAAACCTGCTTGAATGAAGTTTATTTTATACAATTGTTAAATGGTAATGTACATAAATGGGAAGCAAGAAATTTGCTTTGTTGTTTTGTATCATTTGTTGAGGATGTTCTGTCAGCTGTCACATTAGCCTTTTAATTCGGAATAGATAGATCTGGAAAACAGCACTGTATTTTTTTTGTGAAGAGTTGTTTTTCTTTACTTTATCAAAGATGTACTTCTGGATGAAATTTCTTAGCTTTTTTATCATCTCAGAAATTTTCTTTGAAACTTGAAACATCTCTGAGACACAGTGTTTTCTTTGTGTTATTTGAGTATAATTACAGAAATTATTAAAGCGAAGTCAGAATTTACATTCAAGCAGTATTATAAAAATGTATTAATTCTGTTATCTTTGACTACTGTTTGTTTGTTCAAGTTCCGGTAAAAAGTGCTTGAAACAATGTGTATTAACCTGCATTTTTTATTCCAATTTTGCATCACAATTCTTGCATCTTGTCAAATTTCAGGGGGAAAATGACCTCTTCATCTTCACTAGAGTCAGATGAAAAAGGAAGCCTCTTTGTTTACTCAAGTGTTTAATCCATCATTTGCCCATTATACATTTTGTGTAAATCTATCTTTAGGTTAGTGTCAATTAAATAATTTTATCAGTCATTCCTACAATTGATGTTCTCATTCCCACAATTTTCCTTGTTTTTTTTTCTTCTTTAAGAATTCTAAACCTCGCTGCTTAGAGAGAAGAATTAGAATTTAGTCTGAAGCCTGCCTTTTCTAGCTTAGCTTCAAAAATGGCTTTCTGCTCAACTACGTGGTTCATTTTCCTATTGAGATGGCTCTTCAGCATGCTGATTCCTCCATTGGTGTATTTGTTGGTTTCATTTTGCGAGGAAGTGTTAAATCCTAAGGTAGTATGTGCTGAACAGCAAAAATTTCTTTTAGATGCAATGGATGTGGTAATATGATTTATTTTATTTTTCATTGGCAAAAACCGTAAGCAGCTATGAATGACTTTTTTGTATAATGTTCTGGAAAAACAGTAAAAAAAAAAAGTGGATTTGAGCTATATTTTGGCAAGAGCTGGAGATACAGTAGCTTTTTTCCCTGTAGAACTTACTGAGAGATAATAAGTGAAAAAGGAAGAAATTATTCTGCTGTTTCTTTATTGAAGCTGTACAGCCTGGATAGAGGATATAGTAAATAAAACACTAGAAGTATCCACGGAGTGATGCTCAGTTTCATGAAAAATGAATTTTTCTTCCTGGGTGTTACCAAGTGTGACCACACTGTTAGAGATCATCTTCAGGTATGTGTGCAAAATCTCTAATTTTATATAAGCAATGGAAATGAATTCTAGACTTGAGAGATGAGTTATACAAGACAAAATTGTCTCCCATATGCTGGTGTAATTCCAGCAAAATGTTGATGCTACAGAAAGAAAATGCTTTATTAGGCGGAAGTCATCATCCAACTAACTAGAACTGATTCTTCTAAGAGCTGTGGAGATGTCTATGTCTGAGTCTATTTCAGTATTTACTAGTGGGCCACTGACTTGCAGTGCCACCGACAACTTGAGTTTTTGGGTTTTTTTTCTGCATTGGAAACTATTGTAGATTTTTAAGATTGGTGTTTTAACTCTGAATACAGAAGTGTACCATAACTGAGCATGGAGGTCACAAATGCAAGGCTTCCTATGACTAAATCTAATTCTGAATGGGAAAGACATTTCTTTCCAGTAGAGTATAGGCACTGACAGCTCTGGTTATCTAGGAGAGAAGAAGAATTCCAGATGCCAATAAGACTGTGAACAGCTTCAGTGATCTAAAAATGTAATGATAGTTTGCTGGTAAATGAAGACCGTGTCACAGAGCAGCAGTATTACCCCACTCTTTGATACCTTAGCTGCTTGTTATTAACTTAACAAGGCAGAAGCTGATGACGTTGCATTCACCTGAAAGTCATGTAGATACACAACTGTATCATTTTTAAGGTAGCTTACTCTTTAAGTCTTTGAGAAACCTCTGGATTATTTTGCTCCTTCGTATGTGTAGAATTTGCTCCTGCTTTAATGAATGTAGAATTGAAAATATGGTGTTTTTTTTTCTTTGTAGCTTTTTTTTTTCCCTTAGGAAAAAAGGTAGTAATAAGTGAAAGGTCATTTTCTTCATCCTTCCAGGGCTTTTACTATTGTTTTTCTCCCACTTTTCCAATTTGTAATTCCTGAAAAATGTAGGCAATTTTCACTGAGAGTATCTTTTACCCATTTTACCACCTGCAGCTCAGTGTCAAATAGAACTAAATATTATAGATATCTTCTGTATGAAGGGCCATTTTCTGTTCTGAATTACACTGATATCAACTAATAATTTCCTGTTCTTACATCAATCACTGTGTTAATAATGCTATTATTCACACTACATATATCAATACAACAAAATTTTCATCATCTTTTAAAATGTTTTTTACTTCAGGGTGCACATTGATTTTAGACCACTTGTGTATTTAAGAAAGAAACAATAGAATAAAAGGTTTGGAGGAATATTCTGAAAAAAAAAATATATATATATATATATATAGCTATACACCTAATAACACTGTGTAAAATCTTGATTAATGATTCATAAAACTTAAAGGAGGATCAAATATTTGTCAGATTTTAGGATTAGCCAACAGCTTCAAACCATTCAAGGACAGGTTGCCAGCCAATGCAATTACATAAGCTTAATTTCCTAAAGATGCCAGACTGAAATAGAAGCTATCTTGATGAGAGTTTATCTAATAACCTGTGAAAAGCCCTGAGAATTTCTGAAATAGAAATTCTAAGAAATACCATTTGTCAGGGTTTCTGGTTCTCTCAGTAGTGGATCAATACATTTTGCACATCCTACCGTATTTTCTAGTCTCCTGCTGCCCCAGACTACCGCTATTTGGGCAAAGTGGCTATATGTAGTAGAGCCTCTGCTCCACCACTGTCATTTATAGGGCCACTCAAGGAAGCGAATGGCTTTAGAGACACTCCCTCTCTTGTAGAAGCAAACATGATATCTCTGATCTTGTTTTGAATGAAATAAAGTGTTTGTATATTACATACATGGTAATATTAAATAATCCGAAAATGCAGTTTGTAAAGAAATAAAATCTTGCATATGTCAGAAATAACATTAGTTCCTTATCTGACAACAACATCATAACTCAGTTAGAATTTCTGCAGTAGCTTTGAAATCTCTTAAAATTTACAAAGTAAATTTTCCAGAAGTGGAAAGGATTTGGCACATTTGGTCACAACACTAACACAAGGAAATGTTAGCTGAACAGGGAGTGCTCCCACATCTTCTCAGTGGAAAAAGAAATAGGGGAACATTAATGTTCTGATTTTTCACCTCTAAGTCTTTTCACCTGAAGCCCTGGGGTAAGAATACAGTAGTGGTAAATAAAAGGCAGAAAGTTTCTCCCCATCACACCCGAAAACCTTCAAAACACTAAACCAACCCCAAAATTTCCCAAGCCAAAATCATTTCATCTCAGGCTTAAAACAATTCTCACCTTCAAATGTAGCATTTCAGCTCTGATAGAAGTAACAAATCTTACAATCTGTTGAGATATATGGTTCAGAAAAGATTATGCAAAGCTGAAATTTGCATTAAAATGATCTTTGTTCTCATTTGTGATGCAGGAGGAAGCAAGACTTTTGTTACATTTGTTAGGATATATGCTGAGATCCCGATGTGTGCTGAGCACTCTCAACATTTCTGATTCTCAGTGGGAACACAAGTGCTTGATAGCTTCCAAGATCCTGGTTTCCATCAACGCTTTTGATGTATAAGTTGGACATATTGGCCTTTTTTTTAATTTGAAGATTGAATGTAGAGTAAGGGGAAGAAATGTCAGTATCTCTGTGCTGCATGTGACATTTTCCATGGCTTTGCAGAATAAAAATGCCAATGATGGCACACACTGGATAGGTTAAATAAGATACCCACGCAATGTTTTCCTATTGCTGAAAAGGAATGTTTATGAATTCAATTAGGAAAAAAAAAAGCTGCTTACGTTCTGTTTGAGTATATGGCTTTTTGTCTTTTGTAGGCACTTATTCTTTCCAGTGGCTACAGAGGGAGCCCGTGCTCTTAATTTAGATCATTGTTCAGCCAATGTGGGGTATGCAAAGCTTATTTGCTTGGGAGAAATTAACAGAAGACTGAAAGTTTGAGGCAAGCCAAAACCACTAACCAAAGGCAATTAAGGTGCAGACAGTCTGTTAAAATGGTATCTTCAGAAAAAGGCACATGAACAAATTCCCCAACAAATCTCTTAAACAGCCCTAGCAAGACTGTAGTAAATTATGGTCCAGATAGGACTGAATTTTCCATCCCACATCATTTGCTTAGCACTGCCTCCCACCCAAGTTTTCTTATTACGGGAAAAAATGCATTTGAGAGTCTGAGATAATCACATTCCCTAAGAAAACTCTAGAGGATAAAGAAGTACAGGACACATAGCATAGGATTCAGCTTCTTCCCTTGAGGAACTTACACATAAGTTAGAGATCAAGCTCCTATGATAGGTGGAGAGGAAATCAATACAGTCAAGAGTGACACCACTTTAGCTAATATAACCATCTACATGTGGTTGCAGTGAGCCATTTGGCTAACTATCCATCAATTGCAATAAAATGTTTGACATGTAGCTCACCTTTAGGGGCCTAAATTAATGTCAGGTAATTGCAGCCACAAATGATATTCTTCTAAACAATGAGAAAATTGTTCAATTATTATCTCTGTCTAATGGAAATAAGTAGCAAGACAAAAATCTTCTGATGGTGGCTATTAGGAAAGACTTAATAGCTATATGGATAGAAAAGGACTCTTAAGAAATCTAGTATTACAGGATTTAAGTGGAGGCTTCTGTAAAGAACAGATTGAGGGAAGGTGTCATCTATAATGCAGGCCTACTTAATACTTCAGAAGTGAAACATTTCAAATAGACAATCTCTCCAGTCTGCCTATATGCCTATCTGTGTGAACAAGTCCTGTGCACAGCACGTTTCTTACAAGTATTTCAGGCCTATTTATGCTATGACATAATCAGCATTTTTTACTGCCGTGATTGATCTCAGCACATGCAACATCTTAACTTCCCAGCTTCCCTTACTTGCCTTCTTAATGTCCTTTACTCTTCGTCATTCTTCTGCATTGCTGTAGGACCACTGCCCCTTTTCATATTCCCTCTGTCCTTGTCTTATTTGATCTGTACTCTCTTTAGTCTGCTTTCCTGCAAGAAAATAGTTTATCAGCATCATTTTGCTGTCGTCTTTTTTTTGTTTTGCCACAGAGCATTTTGGAAAATGCTAGAAATGAAAAAGGTTGCCAACCTT